CTCCCCCTCTCAAGGACACTCCTTGATTTTCTGCCACTATACCACACATGTTCAGAGAAAGTTTCTGTTCTCCTATGAAAATCTGCTCAATATACTTGAATTTTTTTCTCAAGAACTCCTACCATCTCCCATCATCGAAATCTTCTTCAAAGGAGACTGAGAGTCGCCTCATAGCCACAAACCCATCAAGATAAGAGAACACTCTGCCATACTCTTAGCTTTGCTAAGTCTAGGCCATTATTACCACACATTTTTTCCATTTATGCCAATTTTCCTCAGCTTTAGTGAGATTTATTCACAAATGAAAATTGTACATATTTAAGGTATACAACATGATGCTTTGAAATATGAATATACTGTGTAATGATTACCACAATCAATCTAATTAACATATCCATCCTGTCACATAGTTCCTATTTGTGTGTGTGTGTGTATGTGTGTGTGTGGTGAGAATACTTAAGATCAACTCTCTTAGCAAATTTCAAGTATACAATACAGTATTTTAACTATAGTTACCATTCTATACATTACATCTACAGAGCTTATTCTTCTGGCATAACTGAAAGTTTGCACTCTTTAGCCAACATTCCCCCATTTCTCCTACTCCCTAACCCCTGGCAACCATCATTCTACCCTCTGCTTTTATGAGTTCAACTCTTTCAGATTCCACATATAAGTGAGATAAGGCACTATTTGTCTTTCTGTGTCTGCCTTACTTCACTTAGCATGTCTCCTCTAGATTCATCTATGTTGCCACAAATGACAAGATTTCTTTCTTTCTTAAGGCCAAATAGTATTCTTATATATCTTTTCTTTAACCATTCATCCATCAATGGACACTTAAGTTGTTTCCATATCTTGGCTATAATGACTAGTGCCACATGAATATAAGAGTACAGATATCTCTTCAAGGTACTGATTTTTTTTTCATATATATACCTAGAATTAGGATTGCTGGATCATAGAGTAGTCCTATTTTTAATTTTTGAGTAACCTCCATGTAATTTTTCATAATGACTGCACTAATTTACACTCCTGCCAACACTGTACAAAGGATCCTTTTTCTCTGCATCCTTACCAACTCTTGTTACTGCATACCTTTATATAAATCTTCTCCCCAAGAGTCTAACCTCAGCCCCTTTCAATCCTCACTCTACATGTTCTACCTCAGCAATTACCTTTCCCACCTCAATTATCAATTTTGTGAGAATAAGCTTCAGGTCTGTATTTCAGTTCCTCTCTTAGCTCTAGACAAACATTCTTTGCTGTTTTTCTCCAAAAAGATACGTATTGTACCACCAATTTATTTTATTTGTAGCCAGACTACACCTCCCATCCAATCCCAAACCTACCTCTCCATTTTACTGACTCTTTCCTATTTGTGGCACTTGTATTCTCCCAATTGCCAAGGTTCAGAATTTCAAATTCCACTTTAATTTTTTTCTTTCTCCCAAGCTCTACTTCTAATCAATTGCTAAGTTCCATAGACTCCACCTCACTAAAGTCTTCCAAGTCTGTTGCTCTTCCATTTGTATTGTCACTGCCCTATACCAAGCGAAGACTGATATTGCAAAGGCCTTTCAATTGGTCTCCCCATCTTCCACTTCTCATTAATACAATCTTAAATACACATTCTGATAGATCCCTCTCTCTTCAGCAGTTTCCTTCATTGTCTAGAAGATGAATAAAATTACCTCTCTGGAGTTGAAATATTCAACTGTGTGTCCATGTCAAATCTTTCAATTTTGTCTCCTATACTTTATGACACAAACTATGCTCTCATCAAATTATGCTATTTGCTGATCTCAAATACATTTCTGCCCTTTCAAAAAAAAAATCCTATAGTCAAGAATACCTTGGGCTGATACTATAACAGCTAGGATATCAAGGGACTATTTGTCTTTATTTTATCAAGTAACTCAGTAACTCCCATCCTGCTCACCCTAGAAGGATCTTGGCTAGATAAGAGCCATCACAGATGTCTGTCTGCATTCATGACCATCATTCACTCATTTTCTTCATTCTCCAAGATTCACAGACACTTCCCCCAAGTCTCAGATTTATTAAAATGAAAAATGTTCTAATCAAACCATACAAGCAATTTATCACTAAACAGGTTTTCACTTCACTATCATTCCATTATGATCTGTCTGAATTAATCAGAGAGGAAACACTGGAAGCCTCAATTTACACTGAAATTTCTTAGCAATCAATGTTTCTAGAGTGAGAAATTCAGAACAGAGTATGGGAAAATTTTTAAGAGTTGGGAAAATATATAATTTTATTAATAGGCAGACACTCCATAAAATGAATTTATACATCTCCTTCTCAGTCAAGATACTAAGATTTTTAAAAACACACTACTAACATGGTGACAGAAATGTCATCAATGTTGTAGTAAGAAAAGCGAATGTTACTGAACTAATGAATTTTCATCAGAGTCATCAGATCATTTCAGAATGGGTTAAGTTGCTACCATTTGCTATTCCCATTAATATCATTGTCATGTAAAAGGTTTAATTTTCAGCTATTTTTGTTCTAGATAAAAATCTTTGTCATTAAAATGAGGGATGATTTTGATATTTAATATATTCCATGGCATACTCTAGTGTTGAACCAATTTGGCCTTTTCAGTATTCTGCATATTAATTGACAATCCAGCCCTCCTCCATTGCCCAGATAAGTGAGAGCTGAAATAGAATGGACAGCCAATCAAGTCACAGAATACTGAAAGGATCAACACAGAAGAAATGTGTTGCTCTAATCAGGAGCATATACAAGGCACTAAAATTATTTTATCTCATACTAATGACTAAGATAGAAACAGGAATAATAAACGGCACCATCTGAATCATTTTATGTGACAGTATTACCAAAGTAAAGCAATGCTCCCCAAAAGTGAAAACTAAGTATTTCTTTTTTTAGTCAAAAGAATAAAACTGCGATCTCACTTAACTTTTAGAACAATGAATTTTATCAGATTCTACAACAACTGGCAAACTATGTCCTATATTGAATTTTTCATAGCAATCTGTTTCATGCACACAAAATGTGACCGGCAGTTGAAAAATGTACAGGATCACTGCAAAAAAATGTATCATTTCAATACATACTCTATTAGTTTCCTTCTCTTGTTGAATTATCACTCTGGTGAGAACTGACATCAGCTGCTTAAATAATGCATTAACTCTACTTCCAGAAGCTGTTGTTTTTATTTGAATGGGCATTTACTCTAAGATAAACTTGGGATTCTTAACCAAGAAGATAATATAACTTGTCATCATTTAAAGTTCAACTGAATGTTTGAATCATTTTTATAGCAATAATGACGTAAATTAAAATTTCAAAAAACAAAGATTATGGTTTCATGGATGCTAACAATAGGTGTGGACAGTTTTCCAATTAAATCAATTAACCCAATCTGTCCAACAACCCCAGGCCTTTTCTACATTTTCTGCAATAGCACAGCACTGGAAGAAATATTAAATATACTATTGTATGTAATAAATGTTCATGCCCTAGCACATGCAGAATAGATCCCAAGCATCTTCAACTCTTTCAAGAAAAACCTTTTTTCCAATAATATAACTTTAAGACTCGTCCTTGCTAATTCTAGATAAGCCCAAATCACTCTCATCGTCTTTTCCTGAGCTGAAGCTTCCAAGAAAGACAACAAATTATCAATATAATTTCTTACTTCAAGTTCAAAATCATTCAAAAACAGCCAAGAGGCACTTTAATTTTTCCACAAAATATTGTTATTACTCTTAGAGAAAAATATATACAGTTTTTTCAATGTCTTAATAAGAATAATAGTATTTGTTAAGTAACAATGTCTCCTTTCACCCACCAAATTATTTTTTTCTTTTTTTTATTTTTATAAATTTATTTTTTATAATAAATTTATTTTTTATTGGTCTTCAATTTGCCAATATACAAAATAACACCCAGTGTTCATCCCGTCAAGTGCCCCCCTCAGTGCCCATCACCCATTCACCCCCACCCCCACCCCCGCCCTCCTCCCCTTCCACCACCCCTAGTTCGTTTCCCAGAGTTAGGAGTCTTTATGTTCTGTCTCCCTTTCTGATATTTCCCACACATTTCTTCTCCCTTCCCTTATATTCTCTTTCACTATTATTTATATTCCCCAAATGAATGAGAACATATAATGTTTGTCCTTCTCTGATTGACTTATTTCACTCAGCATAATACCCTCCAGTTCCATCCACATTGAAGCAAATGTCACCCACCAAATTATATTGCTGACCAGTCACCAATAAGATTTGCACTTTAAGTTGTCTTCTGTTTTGTTCTGTTTTTTTTTTTTTTTCACATAATGAAATGGATTTACAACCTCATGGCTAAACATAGATGTGGTGAAATGCCTACAGATATTTGGATAAGCACCTTGAAAAAAAAGCCCAGGACAGAGCTGATCAGCACCTTGTTCTAACCAAAATTTTACATACTGCTCTTCATTCCATTGTAAGCTACAGAGTATAAGGTAAGAATTATAATGCAAAAAGTCAAATATGACAATAAGAATATTGCTGAAGTATAGCCTTGGGGGCTACTTCAGTATTGTTTTAAAATGATTACCAGTCTTAATCCCCCAGTGTTGGATGTTAAATTCCACTGCCTTTTTTTTAATTTAATGACTTGCTAATGTAAACTTCCATCTAGAACAATCAAATAGTATGTCATTTATTCAAATTTACAGTGGCTCTAATGTGCCAGCAAACTCCCTCGTCAAAACAGACAACTTTAAAAAATGTTCGCCTGAGTCAGGAGCTCTATTTCCTAAATTAGCACCAAAGTGTCACCTTGATAGACCATGAACAATAAAATCACTTATAATAAATCCAACTTCCCCCTAGAGTGGACAGCCTGGGTCATGCATCTGTAGGAGCTCTAATTATTCCATACAGATCAGAGAGCACTTGGAGACACTCAGACTTCTACAACTTGTCACCTCCAAATGCATAAAAATATATGCTTACCAATCTCCCTTGATATCTGAGTGAAGGCCTCCACACCACTCTCTCCATAGTTGCCCTCAGAAGCCAGTGTTGACACATAATTCCACCCCAGTGCCGTGACAATGTCCACCATGGCTTGCGCTTGGTAGGAATCTGGTGGGACTACCCGAGAGAAGAAGTCATACCTGGTGTTATCACTTAGCTCTGGGGCTGTGGATGCATAGCTGATTTGAGGTATCTGTAAAATAAATGACAGATTATTTCAACCCATGAGAAATCTTGTTGAATGATGAATTGTCACATAAGAGATTAGCCAAAGCTATACCAATAACCTAGACATATCAGCCTGAAGCCAAAATATGGTTTTGTGACCACCGATTTTATTTTTATTTAGTATTTTATATAAGTCTCTAGGCTCCCTTTCTTTCAAAACACATTTCTAAACAGCAAGAAAGAACTTAGTATTGCTTCAGGTTCTGAAGCCAAAGCAAAACATTTGTGCTTTTTGTTGCTTCTGTTTTATACCAGAAATGATAAGTTCTGGCACAAAAAATGAAGCCAAAATGAAGGTATAATACATACATACATCAGAAAAGGTCACCTCCGAAATTGTATTTGGCTTTAGGACATAAAGGCTACACGATCACAAACAGAATTTAATATGAGATTTTTTTTTTGCACTTGATACCATTTCAGTCTTAAGATTATACTTTTGGTAAATTACTTTAAATATATAGTTTTACAAGTCTATTCACTGTTTATTGATATAATCACTGAGTACCACAAAAATATTTGGGAATAGCCTTAACCCTATGTATCTTATAACCCTATGTATCTTCTAATAAAAAGATGTTCCCAGATGTCCACTCCCAAAATTACAAAATCTATACCATAATTTCTTTAGAAAAAGAGACTATTTTCTTACATATATAAGGTGAATTGCCAGATTCTGAAAACTAGGAATCCTATGTCATTTATCCTAAATAAATTCAAAGTAACAAATTAACTATATGCCATAAATCTCTCCCTAAAAAACTCTTAAAATGTAACATTTACTCATATATTCAAGTGAGGACTTTTACTCTACCAGTGAAAAGTGCTAGGATAGAAGAACACATGGATGTTAAAGACGTAGAGTGGAAAGACATTCAGGCTAGATGGGCACAAATGATGTAAAAAATCTGGCAAACACGGTGGGGAAGGACATTTCAGCCACAAAGCACTGCATGTCCAAAGGTATAGAGTCAAGAAAGAGCATGGTAGATTCTAGGAATTGCAGTGTTTCACATGGTGGGAATACAGGATAGAAAGGGAAGAACATCAGGAAATAAAACTACAAATAAAGACGCATAAAGAGCTAGTCATGTATGACTAGAAATGTGGATTTTATCACAAAGGAATGAGGAAGCACAGAATGACTGTAACTAAGCGGCATAATCAGATTTTTGTGTTAGATCACATTAGCAGCAGTGGAGAGAGTAGTAGCCTTCAAATTCCAATGTACACCTAGCTAGCCCCATTCCCAAAAATTCTAACTTGGTATGTCTAGAGGCTTAGAAATCTACATCTTAATATGCTCTCCAGAAGAATCTAAGGCAGATGAGCCCAAACTATGCTTAGAGATAAATTAAAGGAAAGCCATGCTAAATGCAGGACAACCAGTTAGAAAATTACTACAGAAATCTAAGAAAGTAACTAAACTGAACTAAGACAATGATGGGGGAGGGTGGGAGTGGGGAAGAGTGTAGAACCTATAAGTACCTAAAAAACAAGGTAATGTGTAGATAATAAGGGGAAATGTGGAATGACTCCTAGTTCTATGGCTTTGGTAACTGGGTAGATGATGTTTACTATTTACCAAGACACACAGAAAGAGATTTGGAAGACAAAATTTATGAGTTTAATTTTTTATTTGCTTTTTTTTGAGCTTCCTATGGAATTATTGAAAGCAACTAAAAAGTAGGCAATAATATTGGGGATATGGAGTTTAAGAGTCATCGGGACTAGAGATAAAGAATGGTGGGGGCATGGTAGTTAAAGCCATGGGGGGTGCATGTGATCACTCAAGGAATGTATGAGGGTGAAAGAAAGACAATTTGGGAGTATGAGCTATGCAACTGTGCATCTCACCACTCCTCTGCTGCCATGCTGTAGTGTGAAAGTTCGGAGGTCAAAATGACTCCAAGATGTCCTAATTTAGGTTGCTTCATTAAAGATACAGATTTGACTGGTATATAAAATGATTAACTTTGCTCTCCATCTGATCCTGCAGTTAATGTTAGTACTAAGATGTCAAAGAGGCTGCAATTCCATCTTCCCACATAGGGCTAACTGCATAGCCTGGAATCTGTCACCCACCATGACCCTGACTAGTCCACATGGAGTGGACTCTCCTTTTGACATTCTTGAAAAGCTCTCATCATCTGAATGATCTTTCATGGGTCTAAAGAGTCCTACTCCATACCCATAGCCAATAAAGTGAAACTAAACTTGCCAAGACACAAAAGCCTCAGTTACTCAGGGAGCAGTTAGAACAATGTGCTTGGAGCTCTCCAGGGTGCTGCAGGATCCATTCAGTTTCTCTGTAACCTGTACCTATATATATATTCCCTATAACAATGATTTAGCCTATTTAACCCTCAGTTCTTCCTGGTCCTGTTCTCCTGATGGGACCATATTAACTTGCTTATCAACATTGTCAGACCATAAAACCAGCCTGACCTGCCTCCTTCCTTTCCCTTTGCTTTGCTTCCTTTGATAGATACACTGGCCCTATCTTGTCAGACTGTTCCCTTAATTAAACTTTGTGCCTTTGTAGTAACGGACTCCTCAGCAAGGATACCCCTTCAAATCTCCAACCACACACCAAATCTGGGCCTCTTTTATCTTTTATTGCTTACTTCTAAATAACCTGGGAAAGGGACAATGAATGACTCAGTGAGATCTACCTTTTGCTAAATAAAACTTTCCCAAAGATCAAGAGCATATGCATTTCTATATTCTAATGAAAGAGATTCAGTAGCTTGACTTTCATTTTGGAAGGAATTCTGTGCATGTATGAGTGGTTTGTGTATTTGTAGGAAGAGATAGGGAAACATTCCATAGCAAATTCTATAGCACTATACCATTCCCTTGTCCTGTTTGGATATATAATAATCCTCCCACTTCCTCAGCTACTCAGAGTCCAGCAGTAAAATGCCTTATACAATCCCCACCTTGCCTATAATAATGAGCCACCCCTCTCTAAAAATGAGCACAAAGTGTGAAAATTGAGTGTTTGAAACCAAAACTAATTATCTCAAATTACTACCTTCAGTCAGTCACTTTCAGGGCTGTTTAATTAGCAGTCAGCATCATGTTTAGGATTAATTAAACAGGTGTAAAGGGTATATAAAATAAAAGTACAGATAGAGAATGGTTGTTTGAATAATTAGGTAAAGGATTTCCTCCCCAAAGCCTTGAGGAGTTTTCCCTTTGCAGATCAACATGTGGAAAAGTAATGTGAGAGTCCATGTCTGTTTTCATTTTCTCCATTTTTGCTATGTTGCAGTCTATAATAATAGACATCAGGGTACACTGATTATATTTTAAGACAGCTTCTCAAGTTGTCATAAAGTCACATCTCATTTTAATTTTATTGTGGCTGACCACTAAGCATTGGCTCACTGAACATTTTAATTTCTGTGCCACCATTCCCAATATTTCCACTATTCTCAAATTAACCTCCTACTGGCAATTGAAGTGGGAATTTTTTTCTGAAAACCTGTAATGTTTCTTTTTTTTCCCTCTACTAAATCCATCCTAACTACTCCCTTCAGCCTAGAGTTTTATTTACTAGAAAAAAACAAGAATTGAAAAAGAAAAGTGAAAAAAAAAAGTAATGAGGGGCAGAAGTGAAGAGGGAAATGAGAAAGAAAAGGAGAATGTACCAAAAAAAGATGGTGTTAGGGAAAGCATTCTGCGTCAGCTCAGTCTTTGTAACAAGTAACATCCTTCGTAAGTCTCTGTTAACTCTGGCTTGCCCATTCAAAAGATAACCAAACTCTTCAGTCTGGGTCACCAAACCCTGATATCAGACTCTGCCCCATCCTCCTTCCTAACCTCCTATCTTCCCTGTCATGTCCTGTCTGTGTCTGTACACCTGCCTATGCTGTTCCCTATGTAGCCTGTTCTGTCCACCTGATGATCTTCTGCTCAAATTCTATATCCAACTCAAAAGTTACCTCCTCCCTGGGAAGCCTTTGCTAATTCTCTCAGGCAGAGCTGTCTTTTGCTTCTACTCACTCCCATAACCCCCACTATCTGACATGAGAACCATGACTGTGTGCTGGCTTATGAGCCTCCTACAGACAAACTCTCTGTTGATTTATTTGCTATCCCTCGCATCCGACAGAGCAAATACTCAATGAATATTTGAGGACAATTAATTAATTAAACTGTGGCAGGAATTTTTATGCAGATTCTTCCCCACAGCTTTCTGCCCTGAATTCCACCAAAATATTAGACAGACTATTTTCCATTTGCCCTTCTTACTCACTCTCCTTCCTGCTCTATGTCCTAGGAAGCTGCCCAATGACTATCTCACTTGAGTTCCCTCACCTCAGGCTTCCAACTGAGTTTGACCATTGGGAGACACAACAAAGATGGGAAGGTAGGAGACAGAAGTGAGAGTATTGATTTTCCTGACTCCTTCCGCAATCAACTTGGTGTTTCTCTATTTAAGGCCTCATTCACTGCTGAATTACTTGTAAGGTTCTAGTGACCCTCTACACTTACCTTTTCAGATCTTCCCAGTGTTGCCAATTCCTGAGTACTTCCCATCCAGTGTTGGGTCCTTTAACAATGCCCACACCTTATAAATAATAACTTTGTTAACCTCTCTCCCATTACCCCTTGAGTGTACCAGAAGCCTTACTAATATACCCACTCTTCCAGGTCTCTGCAGAAGAGACATCAACTGTCGTGCTTCCCCACCCTTAGCCCTGCCCTAACTGCTTAGCCCTTTGCCATCCATTTCCCATCTAGTCTTTTCTACCACTGTCCTTACATGACTGCTTCCTTTCTTTTCTCTTTCAGTGCCTTATAACATCAAATTGCATCACTTGAAAATATCTGTCATTTTTGCTTTTTATCACTTCTTATTTTCCTTGTGCTGTGTTTCCATAAGAAAATGATGTGTAGTTAAATTAAGGCCATATTTCCACCCAAATAAAGCATATTTAAGGCAATTAATTGCAT